GTTTTAAAAAAAATTCATGCTAATCTAACCTACACAAGCATATTCCACACCATGTACATTGGCATGAACCAGTATACATTACCATGCACTGAATATATATGTCACATTCATGACAAGGAAGTGCTACATGTAATAGAACAGACCTGGACAAGGAAATATTTAACAAGCTTTACCTTATAAAAATAAACATCAAGTATTTGGGAAATTTTTAAACGACAAACATTATAGTCCATAAGATTCCTAAGAGAAACGATGGCCAAGGATCTACAGCTCCCACTATTCTTTATCTTCTGTTCAATCTGAGTATTGTCTTACTCTTCAAACAGATATTCAGTCTAGCAAAACAAAATACATGTATATCATAACACATACCAAGCATTCAGATTGTTTAATTTAGCATCTTTTTTTTCTAATCTTTTTGACAATCATGAAATTATTTTGCTTTGGAACTTACTGTGTATCATAAAATTTTGAAGTCAAACTACTATGATATACTAAAATAAAGTTTTATACACTAACATAAGTGATGTTGCACTTCAAATCTTTAAAAATCTGCCATCCACGCAGTACTGGGTCAGTACCTGGCACCTATACTCGCTCTACCATGAGTTGTTTACACCCAATTTCTGAAAGTTTTGTGACAATTCAAAACATTGTCAAATCAAAATTATGGCTTGATGAACATTTTTTAATTCAAAAATGACTTTTATTTAGTGAGTGTAATATCCATAATAATGTTCAGCATTTTGTGAAAAATGTAAATTATTACACGATAGCTGGAACTTAAAGTATATTAAGATGTGATATCATAACTCCACTTTCCTTTATCTAGATATGTATACAAAAAAAGTTACAGCACTACATGAACATATGTATGTGTTCATTGTCATGCCTGAGTAGAGACTAAAACGGTTATGTAAGCATAATAATATCTCTGCCTTATCCTTAATTATGTAACTAATATTCCCCTATACATGTTGCATGCAGGTGAATATTGTATATGCCCCTAACTGAGGTACTCAGTATTAAGAAAACCTGTCCACTCATCTGACTGAACAGTACTACATGAGCTAGCACAAAAATTCATGCGTTAGCACTCCTATTGACGATTCTGATGTGTACTGTGTTAGCACAGACAGTACATATCAGAATCGTCAATAGCAGTGCTAACGCATGAATTTCCGTGCTATACATGAACCAAATCCATCTTACTTGTACATAAACACATTCTGTAAAACAGCTTAAAACAAGGACAATTTGCACATTATCATGATGGATCCCCTTCTGATACTCAGTACCTGTCTGACAAATGCAAAAATGCTATAGGAGTAACAGCTAGTACACCAAAAAATAAAATTAAAAAAAAACTAAAAAATAAAATAAAAAGCCCATGTATTGCTGAGGCCACCTTTATCCTTGCCACGGTTGTGCTACATGTACCGGTACATTGTACACGAGGGGGGGGGGGGGGTCTGCCTGCCCAAATGAAAGTTTACAACATGCAGTATTTTTGTCTTTCTGAATAATGATTGGGTTTCATATAGCGTAGTATCGCTATCTTACTTAAATGCGTATTTGAAACTGACTACCCAGAACTGTATCCCGAACATGGATAAATGTTGTCACGTTGACGACTGGGTTTTTTTAACGTAGACTAGAGTCCCTTTCTTTTTGTTTGGAAACGAAAATAACAATTCGATCTAGACCTCAAAAGAGACGTGGACGGTTAAAAAATAAATACCTACAACTTACCCTGTTGTTACTAAGTATTTTCAAAAACCAGACTCGGCAAAAATAGCTTCACCTCACCCCTGTTTTAGGGAAGTGTCAAAATACACGTCAACAACAAACACAGCGTTGTTTCCGCTTGGGTCACAGCTGCGCACAATATGGAGCACTGAGGGCATCTGTCATTTTCAAATGAGAAATGTCGTGGGGATGGGAAAACAACAAGAGATATATTTACTTAAAGCACAAATATACAACTTATTTGTCCACTGATGTAAAATAATGATATATTAGGCTTATTTTACAAAAGTTCCACTTTAGTAAATATTATTGGGGGTTTTAAAATTGCATTGTGGTTCCAAAAAGAGGTTCTTCCATGGAGAATGCCATGTATAATGAGTGTTATAATGTCATTCTCCCTCAGTGTGCCTCGTTTTAGGTTATTCCTGCTTGTTACAATGAAAACATAAGGCATATGTCCTTTTTTGCATTTTCGACAAAAACAAATGTAATTCAACAAAGAGAAATATAGACAATAACAGTCTGACATGAGCTACACTTTTAAAGGTACATAAATATTCCCGGATTGCATTGTTTTTGTTTCATTTTTGGTTAGGGGCAGGTATTTCCCATCGTGCAATGCGTCTTTATTTACCGGAAGTAGAGTTTTAGGATGGAGAAGAAATCAAGATGAGTAAAAAACCTTCTAAAACGTAACAAAAGAGCACTTATGTTTTAATTTTTGTATAAAGGACACTAAAATGTGCGCTGCTGGACACCTAGATATCTCCAGAAGAAACCCCCAAGATGATTTTGAGCTTATTCAACGCATTGGAAGCGGGACCTACGGTGATGTGTACAAGGTACTGCTCTGAAAATTTGTGGCGAAATTGAAAAGATGCATACCATCTAAAGTGTCGTTGCCTCCATTATTTGTCCTTCCAGGAATCTTGAGTGAAGAAATACGGAGGTTTAAGAAATCTCACAATTTTACTCGGTTAGATTTAATCTCTCCTCTCAATACACCCCTTTTGCTAGGGATTGGTTGTTATTGAGTTACAGGTCCCTTTTCCCCTCAGAATACATTTATAATTACGTTTCCCTATAATTAATATTTAATGCATTGACGGACATGTTGAGCTGACCCCCACCCTCCACATATAAATCATTTGTATGTATGTATTCATTATATTTTAATTTGGAAACTATCAAATGATCTCACACAGTGTCAGGCCCTCCCTAACACATAATATCATAATGATATTTTTATTTGAATTTGTTTATTATTAGGCAAGAAACATCGCCACCAATGAACTGGCTGCAATCAAAGTCATCAAGTTGGAACCAGGTAAAATTTCAATAACCGTCTACCATTAGTTTGTCTCATTCTTGTACACCATTCCTTGTCAAATATTTTCCTGGTGTATCTTTGATATCTTGTAGAGCAGGTTTTCTGATTGTGTTTGGCAATATTAAAAAATATGCTAGTGTAACCTAGGATTTTGTTAAGAATAAACACAAGTACTGAGATATCAGTATGATAACTTTATTTATCAGCACATTTATAGATACTTCAAAGAATGCTTTCAACTTCTAGGAGGCAGCAGACTTGCTTATATACATTAGTAGATTAAACGGACAATTGTCTAATTGACTTCATAAGGTCATCAGATAACAGTAGAACCACCATGTTGACATAGAATTACAATATTAAAGCCTCACGTGATGCAATTATCTGGACATATGGGTGTGCCAACAGCTTAATAATTGGAATTTTAAAACATAACATATATGCTTGACCTTTTAATAGTGACATGATTCTAGCACACTAAGGCTTCGTTCACATGCAATGTCTATTTTCTAATTTCTATTTTCTATTTGCGCTATCTTATGATCACGGTCTGTGGCCTGAATATCCCGCGGCGTAATTACTGGCAGCGCGAGCCAGTTACTTATAGTAACTTATAGTAACTGGCTCGCGCTGCCAGTAATTACGCCGCGGGATATTCAGGCCACAGACCGTGATCATAAGA